GTATAGGGACTATTTCCTACACTTAATTTATTGAGTATTTTATTGAAGAAAATAGGTTAGAAAAATATCTAGACTCTAGAAGTAATTTATAATTGATAATATATATAGCTCATTAACTGAGCCCTTTATAAATTATTATATTTCAAGTTTAATAACTGAAAAAATTCTTACCTATAATACCGATGTTTATAATAAATTCATATTTGTTTGTATAATGTACCACAAACACTAAACTTCTAGTGATATAGGTACCTTTATATTGATAATAAAAACGACTATTTATTTGTTTATGGTATACGAACTTCACATTATCCTTATGAAAAATGCAATGGGTTTTTAAATTTCGGAGAGACCATTGCCATCTCTTTGGTTTTATAATGATGTATTGTTGTTTTTCAATTGTATTTTTGAATTAGTATTGCAGTGATCTACCTACATAATATATTTATCTTGTGCATTCAAAGCTATCACGTGGGTAACCATGAGATCTCACCAAACTTGTAATGATCCCCAAGGGAATTTTCATAGATTGGAGGCTGAGTCTCCGAAAAAATGAATTTTTCCACTCTTTCCACGGGATATTGCACACCAAAAAATACTGCCATATGGTAGTAAAAAACAAAAATTCGTTAATTTTTAATTGTATGCATTTCATACTATATGATGTAAATATTACTATATTTTATTATATGGTTATATTAGATGTACATAACTTTGAGTGATAAAAAGTATTAAGAAGTAATAAAAAGTATTACGTCGAAACAAGTTATGGTTTTTTAATTTGAAATATAATATAATACTATGGAAAAACCCTTGTTTTATATTACACACTAATATTGGTGATAAACCTACATTATTAAATTATTATATTATTACGCCACACAATTCAGAGTGATTAAAAAACATGAATAATGAAACACTGTACATTTAAAATCAAACGTAAATACGTACTAAATAAAATCACCCTCCCTTTTACAAAACTCATCCATCGAAGATAATACTATTGTAAATTAATTTTCAGACATCTCATAACCAAAATTTATCGTTTGTGGAGATTTTGAGTAGATATAAGATGATGTCATGGTCTATTTAAGTTTAACGTTGTGAATAACCCAATATAATTACACCGATATTTAAAAAGTTATTTTGATAGTTTTTGAATAAGTCAAGCTCTGCACGAGGGAGTCGTTTTTCAAATTAAACAACATCAGTCTTTGTTTTAAAATTACGTGTTAAAACGGTATAAGCGATGATTTAAAATGTACCTCATTCTGAAAGACGAATGTTCGCAACAATCAAATATTTTTTGTGTCTTATCAGAACACGATTTGTAAGCTACTCAGGATAATCATTTACAGATCAATCGAAACAAAAAATGTTCTAACAGTGAAAATTATTGTGTTATATTAAAAAATATAAACATTACTGACCCCAACTTCACAGAGCCTAAATAATAATAGCCATTGAACTTTATTACAACGATGACGCGTGTACTAAGACATTCGTTATCATTCTAGTTGCAGTGTATGGATATTATAATATTGCGTGGGTGCCCACTTCGGTGCGTCGTCCCTGTAACTATTAAATAACACATAACTGCTTATTAGTTATTATAATATACACGTGTTTGCGGGCGGGATAGCGAGATTGCAAGCGAGAACAACCGCAAACGTTGTTGAAAATCAGACTGAGAACAGTATTATCGCGCACTCCCAAGAATAACAAACATAATTAAAAAAAACTGGTCTGAAATATTATTACCTATTAATATATTTTGCCGTCCCACGTTTTGCCTATTAAATTCAATTTCGTACACGATAAACTACGGGAGTGTAAATTAATAAAAATAAATGCGTGTTTCGAGCCGAGAACCGAATACCTATAATAGTACTGTCGTAAACACTCGCTGGCGCGTAAACACACACACACACACACACACACACACACACACTCAATACCCAACCCCATACACTTATATTAAACAGTACACTCGGGTTTTATGACGACGGGGCATTAGCTTTAACCTTAAGCAAACGGCGCGTAGTATAGGTATACTGTTTATTATAATAATAATATAATAGATTCTATATATAGTAGAGTTGTCACTTGTCACGTATGTTATAGAAATGTCAGAAAAAATCAATGGGAAAAAAGGAGTTAAGTCATTGGAAAAATGGGCGCAAAGTAGCTGTATTATTATTCATTACAATGTGATGTTAACAATATTTTTAAAGTAAAAAAAAAAAAAAAGAGGATGTGGACAAACAAAATAGAACAATATAAAACGCAAAAATGTGGCTTGGCGTGGCGCGTTGGCTGCTACCAGTCGCGGAATGCGACTGAGAGTAAGTAACGGCCACAGCTACTAGCTCCCGGATGGGTGACCACCCGGGTTCATAGTAGTTAAAAACCTTGCCACACATACACGTGTTTACTACCCACCGTAACAGCCGTATCAATCATAAAAAACAACCTACCGTACCAACCTTACTACCACAGTTCATAACCCCTACAATAGCTAATGGCCTTAGTCGTCGGGCTCAAGTTCAATAAAAAAATATATATATATATATATATATATGCAAGAAAGGTACGATTAAATAAGAAAAAAATCCCCTACGCTATATAATAGACACGATAAACCAGGAGAAGAGGACACGAGAAAGCGAATGGTTGCGGATATGCAAGTTTTAGGTTACTGGTCACCTCTACAGGGTTTTCGTGACCGTACACGCGGGGGCCAACGAGTGTCACTGGCGCTTGACGTCTTTGATCGGCCAGATGGATCAGACTTAACCATGGCCTCGACGAGTTGAGGTGGCTAGTGCGCTATTTCGTGAGCGTTACACTGACGACTACGTTTCTAGTACATATCTCTACCACTCACTCCGTGCCAAAGTCTCAGTCACTGCCATCGTAACAAGTCGCTATCGCCATCGTCATTGTTGGTACCGTCGGGGTGGAATTGTTGTCTGCGTCGGTACCTCTACTTGCCGCCGTGTCGTCGTAATCGGCATCTGTGGTCTGTCCACCCAATTGTCATTGCAGCCGGGCGTTCACCGAGACGCCAGAGGGCCGCCTCCACTCGTCGACGACAACTGAGCGCTCTACGCCATCGAACCTGTCGTTCCGTTGGTGGTCGGAGAATGTACGAGGTTGACCTACAGCTGGGCACATTCTGAGCTATTTTTGGTATCCTCCCCTTCTTTTCATCGCCGATGCCTTTTTGACGTCTTCGACTCTAAGTGGGTGAAATTATTGCGAGGGACGGTTTCTATTCGGCGACTACACAAACCAAACGTTTGTTTAAATTTTGTACTCAGGTGTTTGAACACCCGAATACATCCAGCACCCAAAACCCGAATAATGATTCGGGTTCAAAGCCCTGGCATCAACATGAAAGCCACTTTAGTCTGTTTTAAATCGTTCTAATCCACAGCGAAAGTTTTCCACTCTAATTCATAAGAAAACTTGGGTACTCAAGAACAACTGGGTTGGAAAAGATATATCGGATCAAAATGGATATGACGTGTGAGTAGGTGCAAAAAAATATCGTGCCAGTCTTTCGAATTAAATCCCACTCTTATCTTAAAGCAAGATTAATAAGAATTACATCCCAGGCTGAATTATTATATTTCATTTTTGTCAATGGTTTCAAACTAATTTATACATTCACCGTGAATAGTGTTAAAAATTAAATATTTTGATAATACATAATATTATATTATATTATTATTGATAATATTAAATCAAATAATAAATTGTACATTATATTGCAGTATAGTTACCTATCGGCTATCGGGTAAATGATTTTGGTCATATCTATAGTAGCGGCTCCAAAGTTTTGAATTCCTGTTGTCGACGTCACCAGCGAACCAAATAAGTCGTCAGGCCACTAAATGTAGATAACGTGGAGTCGAATATTCACGTATGAAGTGGTGAGGATCCGTAAGAGGCAGTGAGCTGACGGTATCCACCATCAAAATATTATAATAAAAATTTTGTATTAGGAGAATTATTATTTTAAAATAACAAATTTATCATATAATATATTAATATCTCACTTTAAAATGACCGAGTTTTTCGCTAATGCAATAAATTACATCATCTTTTATTTTCAGGTCTGATGCAGACTACGATTTTCGTTTTCACACTATTTTTTTGTTGAAAGCACTTTATTCATTTCTTCAACTGCACGATGTATGTCTCCCTAGCTCGTTCTCGGCTATTTACCACAATGTCATCGGAACAAATGATATTACATTAAATAACAAGCAATAATTGTGTACGTACATAATTATTATTCTTATGAACACAAATCATTACATTGCTTAGAAACAATGCATCTCTTTTTAATTTAAATATGCTGGACGGGTTTCCTTTATTTTCCGATCTATTTTTAAAAAAAATGTCTCTACTGTTACGGAGTACGGACGTACCGGTCTGCAGTTCACCATGCTTCACTACTGCGACGTATGTATAGTGTATACATACAGCACTTGCACACGCGGCTTTATTGTTGCAGGGATTAGGAGTGGGGGCGCGCCAAATGCAAAATTAAATTTCAATTTCGTGGGTCTTGCGAGGGAAAAATCCTTTGAACTTTTTGACAAAGAGCATTTACCCGCCGGGTTTTGCCGGCAAATAAATAATAAGCTCGTGAGACGAGCGGCATCCACCATTGTCGTGCAAATAAGAAGCAAATCCAATATTGTTGTTCGATATTTAAAGTGGACTGTATACTTTTTAATTTGGTTAATGTTTTATTACACAATAATGAATTGAGGTGGACGATATTACAACACTGTAGAGACTAAGAGCGACAACTGAACGGCAAACACACTTGTAGTTACGATAGCCAGGCGAATAAAAGTTATCGCGGATCGTGACAGTTGAGATAATACAATTTATTATAGATACCTACCTAACATACCGCCCACCTTGAAATAATAATTTAAAGTATTTCAATAATTACAATAGTAAATAATTATACAATTTTTGCTATTCAATATCAGAACATAAATATAAATATAAATACAAAAATAAAAATAATAATAATATTTAATTATGATTGCCTTCAAAGGGCAAAGGACATAATAATCGGACTGCTCGTTTGAATTGACCACTTGAGGTTGAAATAGTTGCCACACGAATGACTCCGTCACTTCCGACATGAACTTCTTCAACTCGTCCTATTTTCCAGCGCAAAGGGGGAAGATTATCATCACGCACGAGTACAATAGTGCCAATTCGAAGCCTAGGTCCTCTGTCATTTTCCCACTTATTTCGCTGTTGTAGTTGCACCAAATAATCTTTAGACCAGCGGCGCCAAAATTCTTGAAATAAATGACTCACTCTTCTCCACCTCGTTAATCTATTGAGAGGTGTTGTCGTGAAATCAGGTTCTGGCAAAGAGACTAAAGAGCTTCCCACCAGAAAATGACCGGGAGTAAGTACAGAAGGATCAGATGGATCAGATGATAAAGGAGTCAACGGGCGTGAATTTAAGCACGCTTCTATTTGAGCAAGCACAGTGTTTAGTTCCTCGTAGGTTAGAATAGCGTTTCCCAATAATTTATTTAAGTGAGTTTTTACAGATTTAATGGCCGCTTCCCACAGACCGCCAAAATGAGGGGATCTAGGAGGGATGAAATGCCAACGTATACCAAGTTCTGCCGTTAATTTTTGGATTTCGGGATCTAACGTGTCTGATAAAAATAATTTTTTAAGTTCCTGTAACTTGCGATTTGCACCCACGAAATTTGTGGCATTATCTTAGTAAATGTCTGAGCATATTCCTCGCCTGCTGCAAAATCGTCTCAGTGCATTTAAAAAACATTCAGTTGATAAATCACTAGCTAATTCTATATGTATTGCTTTGGTCGCGAAACATACAAATATACATATATAGCCTTTGGTTATAGGAGCTTTGCGTTGTAAACTAGATTTTACCATAATAGGGCCACCATAATCAATTCCGCATATTTTAAAAGGACGACTTGGATTTACGCGTTCCTTTGGCAGATTACCCATTAATGGTTGAACTATTGTTGGTTTTATTCGGAAACACGTAACGCACTGATGTACAGTTTTTCTGGCTATATTCCTGCCGTTAATAAGCCAATATTGTTCTCTAATTGATGATAAAATCGCTTGCGGACCCGCATGCAATAATCGTATGTGCTCATAATGAAATAGTAAGGTCATTAAATTACTCGTCGCAGGTAGTAGTATTAAGTTACGCTGAAATACGCTTATCGATGTGGCATTATTTAATCGGCCGCCTACTCTAATTACACCATTATCGTCTACGAACGGCTTCAAATATTTTAATTTA